TAAATTAAGACTATTGTAAAGTTGTAATTGTGCAACATATAAATCAGAGCAGTCACTCCCAAGCCAGCCATTTGTATACCACACAGTTCTTGCTGTTTCAAAACAAAAATTCATTTTCAAATTACAAGACATGACAGGCTGTTTAAAAGTTGTAACAAACTAAAGGAATCTTTTAGAAGACGTATATACATTTTATGTTTTCAAATAAAATGTCCATCATTGCCTCGTGGCAGCCATTTTTGTTTGTCGTAGCTTCATTCACCATCAGTCAACTCAGAAAAAGAAGAGGCATGTTTGCAGTAAGAAATTGGTTTCTTACTCAGTTTAAATCGGTCTCAGTTGATCTGATACTTCAGATTATTAATGTTTTACTTCATACTTTTTTTTTTTGTATGTTTGTATCCATTTTGGTTCAGATGATATTTGACAGTCAAATCTGCATTATCTGCTTATTGTTTACCAAGATTTAACCAACATTCCTCAAATTGTGTGACGATTGTGGTTGTTTTGAAATGAAAATCAAGACGAGGTGACTTCTGATATATCCCATGAGCTTTATTAATGCTTAGACATTTGTTTGTAAATCCTGTTCATTAGGAGTCTTTCGGGTATTTTAATTTGAAGTTGCCTGATAGAAGAAAATATTTAAATCAAGGCATTACCAGAGATGATACAGTTAATTTTTCTGTTCCCTTTTCCTTCACTGTTTTATTTGAGCGTAAACATCAAATCATACATTAGAAAGGTGCATTGTATTTTGTTAAACAAATCTCATTCTAATTAAAACGCCTAAAAGAAGATTTATGATTCAAAATGGACAACGAAATTCTATGAAATTCTGGGTTTGTAGTAACTGTAGATGGTACTGTGTATACACTATGTTGATGTGATGGTGGTCAGAAAATATCCCATTGTTTTTTAACATTGTGGAAGATGCAAGCAAAATCTGATTTTCCTTCTGGCTCCATAAATGTTGGGAAACAAAATAAATGGTTTAATCAACTTTTTACTGTCTGATCTGTTTCATCAGTATTTCATAATCAGTGGCGTCTTGTTGCTGAACTCCGTGTAACCTGGCCTGCTGTGCTTCAGTGCACTACCACTAGATGGCGACCTAGACCATGACTTTCTGCTCAAAACGGGTACAATGAATTTTACTTACAAATCTTACAGGCAAATGAACACAGAGCATAAATTTAACAACATTGTAATGGGCAAAAAACAAACATTGAAATGTATTAAAACTATAGCAATACAACTAAAATATATAAAAAGAGCTGAACTCGCTAAAGACCTTTTGTATATGGTGTGCTGCACAAGTTCAAAGACTTAAGGCCATGTTCAAACATACAATAAAATTGTTAATTTTTGGAGCACTGGTTCAGTTCTTCATTATAACATCAAATGTAAGTAGACCTGCTTTATAATCATACAGTAAACGGATGTGTATTAATATGAACAATGAACCTTATTTAAACTGTAATGTTTCAATTTTTCTGGTTATAAGAAAGATTTGACATTGGTCTGCTTCAAAAGTATCTGATATGTAGGCCTGCAGAGCAAAGCAGCAATAAAAGTTATATTGTATCTCAGTTTTTTTTTTTTTTTTTATCTTTATAAACTGATTTTCTATCTTTCAGATGATTAGGGGCACAAAAAAAAAAAAAAAATTAACAGATTTTTAAATTCTGGCTTTAATCTCAGAATTCTTATATTTTTTCCCCTGAGAAAACTGGCTTTAATCTCAGAATTATGATTTTAATCTCAGATTTCTGTCTTTAATTTCAGAGTTATGTCTTTTATTCTCAGAATTCTGACTTTAATCTCAGAATGCTGACTTTCTTTTCTCAGAATTCTGACTTTAATCTCCCAATTCTGTCTTTTTCCCCCCTCATAATTCTGATTTTAATCTCAGAGTTCTGTCTTTTATTCTCAGAGTATATTTTTTTACTCAGAATTCTGACTAATCTCAGAACTCTGACCTGAATCTCCGAATTCTGGCTTCAATCTCAGAATTATTTTTTCCTATATTAAACAGAAATAAAATGTAAAAATCAGTTAACTTTTTTTTTTTTTCCAGTGGCCCTAATCCTCTTCCGTATTTATTAAATCAATCAATACCTCCTTTTTTCGTTTTCATTTTTAACTTTTTTATGTAAGAGTTTGATTTTTGAAGACTTTGACTAAAGCACATAGATTCTTGTATTTGTAGATCTAGTTGAATGTATTCCCAGCTGCATCTCTGTTCAGTTTAGCAGTGATTTATGATCATCTTTTCTGTTGATGAAGAGCACCGCGATTCTTCTATCACTAACATCACATGTTCAGTGTTTTCTGTTTTTTAATAATAGCATTGTACATGCTCGGCAATTTTAAAGGTTACATTTCCATAATTTTATCAGATTTCTTTTTAGTTTCATCAGTTCGTTTGTATCTATCCATTTATTTAAATGGCTGATTTATAGAAGTCGGTGTAGCATCGTTTACGCAAAAGTGCGAAATAGAATCTCGACCGCGTAGGCTTCCGTAGGCAACAAGAGCGACGGACCTGCTCGCAGCCTCATCCTCAGACAGCATCATTCCTACCATCCTCTCCCTAAAAGCCCAGTGCGATGACAGGAAATCTGGAAAACCCTGGGATTGTTTCTTCTCTGTCGGTTCGCGCATCTTTCCGGGTGTGTTTGGGGTTTGGGGCTCAGCGTGAGGCTGCTTCCTCGGTGAGGAGGGGAGGACATCACAGTCTGCGTGTTCACACAAAAACAACACAGAGATCCTGATCACAGCCACATCTCAACCTCCTGGGTTTCGGAGGGTTTCTACATTTTAATAGCACGCAGATTTACGTTTCTCTGCTGGTGTGAGAGGAGCTGTAACAGACACATCATCACGGTAGGTGCTCTGTGTTTGCATGCTTTGAGGTATTGTTTCCCTCTGCCTGTAATATACATGCATGCTTTGTTTGTCTTCATTCTTCCAACACAGAGACACAGAAGTCCTGCAGCGCACATTGCGTTGCATTCGACCAAGTTGAGGAGATCAGATCTCATCTGCTGCCCCCTGCACCCCTACATTCCCTCCTCAGGCACATTTCCATGAATTAGCAGCATCCTTACACCCGCCATACTAGGCTTACCTCACCCCTCCATATATTCCTGCTCAGCTCCTCTGGCTGCTGATGTGAATCAACTCTTTCTACTCCAGCAGTGCAATTTTCTGAGAATTGCAGGTTATTACGGATTCTGTGCACTTAATAGACCCCAGCTGCATGTCTAATGGTGCAGAAGGAGCACAGGTGTGCACAGGTATTGTAGGAAAAATTGCGAAAATTATGGGATAAAAAAGAATGCATCTTTATCAAAGCTCTCTCTCATTGATGGCAGTATCTCATTGTGACAGTGGATATAGAAAGTGGACTGGGATCAACTTATATTTCAGACTTTTAAAGGAGATTTTGCTTTGGTGAAAGAGATGGAGTTATTTTTTTATCATTATTCCTGTTTGGTCCAATTAATCTTAAACACTGCCTTTTTAAATTGTTTTTATTTATTTTTCATCTACTCTATACAAGGTTACACTCTGTAAAATAATCAGATTATTTAACCAGATGATAATTCTGTAATTTACCACTTGTTCTGGAAAATATAAGATGTTCCTCTTCCTGTTACAGGAAGCCTAAAGCGATATTATGGGACTGTATTTGTTAATAAAGCACCCTCTAACTGAGTTTCCAAAGACTCAACAGTTCAGTAAAGATATATTTTTTGGGCCATATCAGCTGAAAATAAAGCACAGAATAATAAAAAAAAAAAGGCAATTAGTAAAGACTGAATCTATTTAGCTGCTTTAGATGCAGGTCCACCCTCATTGCTCTCTGGGAATACAGGGCAGCTGGTATTGTCAACGAAAGGACTGGAGATTCTTTCATTGACTGCAGATTTAAGCAGTAAAGTGTCTCACTATTTGAGGTGAGTCATTTCAGTGAAAGTAGAATTAGTTTGATTAGGTTCTCGCCTATGACTTCCAGTGAAAGATATAACATCAGTAGACGCTGTGGAAAAGGGATGGCTTTAATTAACTGAGGTAATTTTCTTATGCTGTAGAAAAATGCACGTAACCTTATCTGTTATTACTTCCATTACATTTTTTATTTCAAGCTTATGATAGAGCAGAAATGTTGTGCAATAAGTGTTTTTAGGGAAGTTTTTTTAATGGCAATTACTTTATATTATCTGCATGATTTTGGTTATGCATTTTCTTTGTACTCTTCCACATGTTTTTATCTACAACAATTTGCTGGAATATTAGCCCATTCCTCCATATATAGCTCTGTGTTCATGTACCGTTTTAGCTCAGCTGTCAAATTTGATGTGGTACAAAGATCAGCGTTTTGTTTGGGCCACACCAAAATTTAGATTTTTTTTTTGTCTGCTTAGAAAAATCATTTGGGCATCTGTTGGATTCCCCGGTGTTAAAGAAACTTGAGATGCTAAAATTCTTTTTTTTCATTGCAAAGTAACTTTGTATAAACTTGGCTGTATAGAATCCCTTTTTTGGACATAATGGACAGACTAAACCATTTTGTTCCTTTAGATCAAATTAGATGCTTTTAGAAAATGAAGGTTTTTGTCACTCTCTGCATTTAAATGCATAAAGTAAAAAAAAGTTGTTGTTTTTTTACATTCTTTAATTTAAAATATACCTATCTTAATATAAAATGCCAGTGATAATGGACAGAAGTAGAATAGAATAGAATTCAACTTTATTGTCATTGCACTGTCACAAGTACAAAGCAATGAAATATAGATTGAACTCAAGGAAAAAAACAAAAACAGTGTCTCAGATACCCTTCATCAGTTGACATCCCTTAAAGAAAAAGGTCCTCATAGACTCAAATAAAAGATATATGCATCTGTTATGTGCTTTCCTTAAAAATAAAATAAAAAAAATAACAGAAGCATGAAGGGAAACAGCTTTTATGGGCTGTTGACACTAACTCATCTGTCTGACTATCCAGACTAGATCCTGGGCCCAAACACTCGAGGAAAATTACATTTTCACATGAGGTTTTGCATATATCTTTTCCAATATATACACACATCTTTCAGAAGGGCTTAATTTAGGTCGAAGTCAACATATTTCTAACCATATGTAAGTTATTTAATTCCTAGACTTCCGTTTTCCTCATGGGTCAAACACAACATATAATAGCAGATGGGTTTTGGATTTAAGTTCCTAGTTCAAAAGTACCATTTGACATCAGATTAGGCCGTTCTATCTTCATGTGTATATTGTATTTTCATGATCTATGTGCAAATGAATGAAGAAACCATAGACAACCCAACTTCATGCTGTAAGGAATTCAAACCCTGTAGATAGTGAATCGTGCTGACCACTATCCCACCAATACAGCTCAATTTCAAATAATCGATAAAATAAGTAACATGTTGGTATTCATGTTTTCATATAAACCTTATTACAGAAACTATGTTAAAATTTTTCAATAATCAGTTGAAAATCTTGGTGGTCAGACGTGCCAGTGGTGCCCCGCTTCTGTCAGTGTGCTCCAGTCAGCTGTGGCTACGATGTAGCTTACCCATATCGGGCTGTGAATGTCTATATAAATATATTATTGTAGGAGGTAGACCAATATAGTTTTTTTTAGGCTGATGCTGATACAAATTATTTTGAGATTAGTCAAACCGATCCTCAATATGTACTGGCAATTTTATGGGCCAATTTTTTTTAAGCCAGTTTGCTTTTTTCAGCCATTTACATGATAAAATAAGACACGGTGATAACAAAGGTTGCACAAGTTTCAATTGAAACTTAATTTAACTTTAACTTAACTTTAATTTTTATTGAAAAGCAAACAAAACATTAACAATAGAAGGAGCGGCAATGGATGTGTTTCATGTGATTGCCAGATGGGGCTGCTGCATGCACTAATGAATTTGAGAATGCATGCATTTATTTGGGGATTCCGATTCAATGCAAAAAAAAAAAACGCTCAAATCAGCCTAAAATGTCTTGTCTAGTGTGAAGTATTTTGAAGGCCTTGAACTGTTTACAATTTATTTTTACCAATGTTGCTGATCTGAAACCAGGTTTTTCCACCACTTTCTTATAAGCCTGAAGGGACGCCAGGCTTTACTGCACCCAATTTAAAAATACTTTATTAATCCCAAAAGGGAAATTAAGTTTAAGTACAGCAAAAGAAGACAAAAAAGAGAGAAAAAGACCACAGTGGGTAAGAGGAAGAAAATACCCCCCCAATAAAAGTAAAATAAAAAATTGGCACAAGATGCTGCGAAAAGCGCCGTCCTTATGTGTTTGTCAACTACTCAAAAGTTGACGTAACTGTTGCCAATTACTTATGATCATAGTCTATTATAACATGGAGCAACTGCAGCATGGGGGAATCATTGCTCTGGTCAGATGCCTGGACCTTTAACTGATCAGTCTCTTGATTCCTTGTTTGCACTTTATGATAAAATGACCTGCATTGCATTGCATAATTTCAGATTCCCTGGATTCATTCGAACTGCAAAAAATATTTATTTTAACAGCTGTTTGATAATTTCAATAGAAGTTTAACAGCGTACCATTTTTTTCAACAGATAGAGTTAACGTATTGTCACATGTTTATTTTCAACTTTTCTCTCTACTTCTCACATTTTTATACCAAACTATGGTGGGCTTCCCTAGAGGTGCCTACCACTGGGCTGACCCTGATTTCTCGGGGAAAGCCTGGCAATATGCCTACATCTTTATTTTAAGGGCTATTTAAATGAAAGTCTTCAATTAACTTAGCATCTATTTGACAAGAAAAACAAAAGTAACTTTTTACACCATTTTAAATGTGCAGTAAGGGGTTAAAGTGTTGTAAAATGCTGTAGTCAGTCCTCTGGAGTCATTTCTGCTCAGTCGAATGGATTCAAATAAACTGGTTACGCTGACGCCAGTGAACCTTCCATTTTCCCTGAAGCTTGTTGAATGAAGCAGTTGCTTTGTTTTTTGTTGTTGTTTGGCTTTTATTTATGCTTTTATACTCATTAACCTCACCTCACTGGTCCCAAACAGCGACAGCATGTGATCCATTCCTCGATTGCTCCATTGTTGAGATTTTTTGTCATGGGGGCTAACTAGGTCGTTTCAAGTTATTGAGCGAGTTACGGAACCCAGCCTATTGTGAAAAAATATTAGGTCCCTTTTAAGACGATAGGAAATTCCTTTTTTTTAAGGACATGGCTGCTTATCAATGAATCGTTAGTTGATCAATAAGATCAGTTAACTTTAGATTATTGCATTTATTGATCATTTGCATCCTTGTTTTTAGCACTTGCTTATTGTTATTTTTCATATACTACCAGACTGTCTCAGACATGAAAAAGCCATGGAAACTGTTTTTCTTTGCTCAAAACATCTGGCTTTATCTCAGAATCACAAGAGCGTCAGATTTTCTCATCTTCATTTGTTCAACAACCCTTAAAAAAAAAATAAAAATATTTCTTCTAAGACTTCTTCCTCACTTGTCAAAAACAATCCCTCTTATGGCAGGGGAACAACTACAGCCCCGTGGGGAATTATAGAATACACCATACCCAGTGGCGCTTCTAGACCAAATGTACCAGGGGGCCAGATGGGGGCCATAATTTTTTCATGGGGGCATAGAAAAGCATGAAATAAAAAACCGGGCAAAAGGGTTTCAAATATATTAAGAGAGCTGCATGAAGTGAAATTTCTATTCAATTAGGTTTAATTCAGATTCTATCTTATGAGGTCAATATACATTCATAATTTAGGAATTTTACATATGTTTCACATAATTTAAGTTATAATTAACATTTTATTTAAAATCTGAAGTAAAACTCAAGAAAAACTGATAAATT